GGGGGGGGGGGGAGGGGAGGGGGGGGGTTAAATCAAGTCCCGTAACTGTCTCTTTCATCGTGGAATCCTAAATTCACTGCAAGAACACCTTAGGGGATGGGTAATAGATTGGTAATGTTCAAACGTGACAGTACATATATGTACGATGTTGTCATTGAATGCCGATATCGATATATCATGTACTCACGGTGGATTGTTTACTATTTTAAGGAATAAACATACAGTCTTGGCCAATATTAGGAATGTATCAACCAGATGGCCTTATATACATACATATAGACGATGCTGGGTATTTGGTCATGGCAAATGAAGGCGATAGTATGGAAATAGAATTTGAAGACGATTCATGGGACGAGTCGATCACAGGCCACGTGTTTGTGCAAGGTTGGTGTCTTCTCAGCGACGTATCAGATATATGACGTATGTGTACATAATGTGATGAATAATACTCGTGTTCTAATATGTTTCTACAGACGACCTATTGTCAACTACCGTATCAGATCGGATAGCACACGCCCTTGCCAATGATAGTATGCTAGGTAAGAGTACCAATCTTCGCTCTATCATTAAGCAACAGCGATATATTACAGAAAACAATATCACTGGCATTCAATAGCTCGACATGTGAGAGTGACCAGGGAAAGATAGCGAAACGTGCTCAACAATTAGAATACGACTTTGACGGCTGTAACTACAAAGTTGCACATAATCAAATTAAACTTTGTATTTGCAAATAGGGCGTCTCGGTTTTAGCATGGTTGATGGCAAGAGTGCATCAAATTCTACGAAGTATGACACATTTTATTCGTATGGCGGTAGAAGTTTCTCCATCATCAGAACCTCGGATATGCATAGTGTATTTGATAGCGGCAGTGAGCTGGAGTCAATTCACGCAGAGGTTTACCCATCTATTTTCAATATGAATGGAAAATTTAGTAACTTAGAGGAAACACCAGAAGACTTAATAGATTCCAGATCAGACAATAAAGTAAGAATATTTTTCTCTAATATCGTTTAGTTACAATATCTCCCAACTTTTCAAATGCGACTGTCTTCGCTGTGCGATATGAATCTACTCTTGGCGAGTTTTGATTTTGTAGGGGCCTGAACCTGAATCATTGGCATATGGCAAGGTTGGATCAAAGGACATTCTGTTTATTGGCAATGAGAGAATGAATACTATTATGTTGTACAGTGTTACTGGCGGTGGGGGAATTTTATCTGTTGCGTTTGAAAGCATCTATCGGGCTGGTGGTCTTGATGATACATTTGATAACTTATACGGTGAACGCAATTTAGGCGACTACGACCCGGAAGATATGAGGTAGGCACTGGATTACAATCTGTTTGTTTTTTCTGAAGCAGTGGCGCATTCAATTGCGATTAAACGTATCAGCTCGGCGCATGAACTATTTGACAGTACAAGCGGATGAGCGAGAAACTGTTCTTTATATTAACAACAATAACGCAATGAAATAAATACAAAGAAATATACCATACTATATCAATAAGCAGTATACATATACTTTAACCATAGTTATTTCACTGTAGATTTGTAGATGGTCCTGTTTCTCCAAATGGCAGACCAATGTTACTTGTTGCGGCGACGGTCAGTGGGACTGTCTCGCTCTATGAAGTACTTGAAGAAGGTAGAGATATAATATTTCATTTTTTATTTTCAACTTATGTATATTTCTTGTATGCATCAAAATGTAATAAATATACACTTGAAGGGACAAACATCCGATTCGCTGCTTCTTACAACAATATGCAATGTATAAATATGATGGTGGAATTATTATTTAGAACATGTGTTTGTTTCATTTATTCATAGAAGAGGATGTACACAGTAGTTCTTCACAAGTAACCTGGCGTATATTTACGATCGTATCTGTTGTATTAATGGTCTTATGGTTTGAGTGAAAAATATACAGAACAGCTGACAAATATTTATATGTTTCATATTTGTTCTCTCATATTTACACTGCCGGTGATTTAATATTCCGTTGAAACATTCCTCGTTATTATATTATTCAGCCTGAACCTGAATGTAGCGAATTATACACGTGTGTGATTACAGAACTATTCTTCTAATATGTGCTTTATTATTGTGACCGTCGAATTTTTTGATGAGGTCTATTTAGAGTTGCATACATCAATATTTGTGCTCATGATGGATTTTTACGTATTCACTATATCAATTCTCGTCGTCTAACAAAATAAACTTTGGATCTGAGGTTTGTATTGACTTAAATAAGCTTATTCTTCCTTTTTTTTATATTGTTGACAGTCAACCAGGATATGAAATTCATCCTCAACTTTATCAGTATTCCCCTTTCACAGAAACTTTCATTTGTTTTTGGTCTTGTATGTACCCTGTAGTTATCATAATATTGTGATCACTAAATCCGTGTTTGCATATATATTTTTTATAACTAGCTTTATTGCTCTGTTTTAAATGTCTTTTTTAATTTACGGTAGGTTCTTAGTTTATTATTTTTAACAGTTTTTTCAGCATTAATTAAGCTTTTCCACAATGTATATAATTTGTTTCCATTCTTTGTCTCATTTCAATAATCATCTATGATAATCATATTTTCGCCAATTATTTCTTTTATTGATTTTTCCCATTGTGATTGAATCAAAAAATTATCTCCTTGACTAGATTGTTCTCATTTTTGCTACATATTTTATACTACTATCTGACTATCATTTCGTTAATGAATCGAGATTTAATGTCTTCCTCCCCCCCTCCCCCACTAAGTTTGTTGCTGATTGGTAAACTTGTAAAAATTATTTTTTTTCTGTGTAGGGTTTATCTGTATATTTCTCTGAACCCAAAGTATGGGTCTTATTGCATGGTATATTTCACATACTGCAATACAATGAACTTATTGAAGGAAGTATGTAAACCTTTCCGACACAAAGCATATAGCATGCTACTGGGTGATTTTAATTGAATTAGATGAATTAAAATGTAGCAACATCAATGAGGTAAAATGATCAGACTTATGATTTACATTTTGCCACATGGATTGAGGACAATCCTATGAAGATAAACTTGGCTTATTTCAATTCATCACTGGTAATCACAATAAACCGAATATCATTATATTTGTTTAATATTTCTGTTACATGCAGTGATGATATATCTCCTGGGGATCAGTATCGACAAAACAAATCGATAATAACAACGATTATGCGACAATCCATAACCACTTGTGTTGCAGAATTATTTTCCCATAAAGTCAACAAAATATAGATTTGGAACAATAAAATAGTATGTTACTCAGTTGGATACGTCTCTCATGCATACTCATTGCAGAGTCGATACACAATTAACGTGTTTAATGAACGAATACACAGGAAATAGACATCCATTGAGAAGCAAATTTACAATGTATATGACTCACAAGAGAAGGCAAGACATGTGGTACCAAACAACAATAGCCCCTGTCCTGTTGCAGTAGTCCCTTTTGACAGCGAGTCCAACACAAAACTGTAAATCAAATCATCGTGAAATTTCATGATGAAAATAACCATATTTCAAAATCTTTGACTAGCATCTGTAACATCATTGTAGAATAGTATTCTACATTTATGTACCTTTCATATTAACGTCAGTAACGACTGAGGAAAGACGTGTGTTAAGCGTCCGTAGGGGTTTTTAACGCCATAGGGGCCTACATTACAGTATATTTCGAAGTTTTCAATAGTTTTTCGTAACTATTTTGCATGTAATGAACGTATTACACAATTTTGTAGAAAATTTATACATATTCTACCAAAAGTGAGATAGTATACAATTGTTTTAATATTTTTTTTTCTCAAACAGTATTGGTGCAATTATCCATTCAATTTACGCCGAATTACGAGTTTTCAGTTACCTAGGGCGCACATACAAGGTCGCCTTTTTTTTTTTATTTTCTCAGAACGCGAAACC